AGGGTAGTGACAAGAAATTGTCCGGTTAATAATAGATTATAAAGAAATCTAACAGAAGGTATAATCAATTAACCGATAGGCCTTCGTTTATTGACATTCCATATATTAGACCTCAATTTTAGAACGGTAGGTATAACTGTGTGTGTATTTAGTGACTCAGAGGGTAGTGACAAGAAATTGTCCGGTTAATAATAGATTATAAAGAAATCTAACAGAAGGTATAATCAATTAACCGATAGGCCTTCGTTTATTGACATTCCATATATTAGACCTCAAGTTTAGAACGGTAGGTATAACTGTGTGTGTTTAGTGACTCAGAGGGTAGTGACAAGAAATTGTCCGGTTAATAATAGATTATAAAGAAATCTAACAGAAGGTATAATCATTTAACCGATAGGCCTTCGTTTATTGACATTCCATATATTAGACTGTGTGTGTATTTAGTCATTTTCATTATTTTTAACCTAAGAATGCACTCCTTAAACTCTCTAACACCTCTGTTGACATGTTCAATGTTAATTTGTTATTCTAACAAATATAATGCGAAAGCTTTCATTTATTAATAATTTCACGCATCTTACACACGGCCGTCTGATTCCAAACTAGGCAGAGCCAGTGCTATGGTTACCAGACTGCTGATAAACATACTTATATATTTCTAAATACATACATACTATAGATCAAATAAACTCAGGCACAGAACAAATGATCGTGCTCATCACACAAATATTTGTCGGGGTGAGAATCGAACCCACGACCCCCGGCTGTCAGGGTCACTAACCACTAGACCAACAGGTCCGTAAAGTGAAGTACTGAACTAATCATCATGAAATATATCAACTCATATTTCAAATAAAACGGAGTTTACAAACTCCAACATTTTAATATGATAAAGAATGTTCGAAATAGGAGTAGATATATGCAAAGAGCTGAGTTTAACGTAAGCTGAGTTTAATAATAAAACAATTCACAATATAAATAGTTGTACGGTTCAAAGGTTATGTTCTAGTTGCCAAAGGATAATGTAAATTTTCAACCACGAACCTTGTGTTTAAGCTAGATATGAAAACGCCCTTGCACCGTTTAACTTACGTCTGACATTGAGATGAAACTCACAATTCACTTTGTAATATATTTTCATGAAACTAGACATATGACGTAACAAGGTTGCGGGCGTTACGGCTTAATATCTATGATTGTTAGGATATTATTTTCTCAAGCCTCTCAGCCTTTATCTTGAAATAACTTTAAGATATTTATAGCATCATAATTATTGGCATAAAAGCTAATAAAATTATATTAAAAACATCATTTCTTAATAGTCTTCATTATCATGTTTCATTATAAAATAAATAAATTATTGTTTTAACGATAAATGCTTTTAAGTTCCAATAATTCAGAGCTTTCAATACTTATTAGTAGTCAAACGTGGATACATATTTTACTAACAGCGTTTAAAATACACTTTTCATTTTATTGCCTCGACCTTTCTCGATCTCTAGAGGTGACTTTGAGACATAAGGATTATTGTCCTTTGAACTAGTCGACAGGCACGCAGAATAAAATTTGACCGACCTCTAGAGCGGAGGTGGAGAATTTGACTGCAACGTTCGGGTATGAGTTATGATCCCCGCTTTGTACTAATTTGTATTCATAAATGTCTATTTTGCATTGGTCTGTTGTTATATATAATGCTTTTAGTTTAAAAATCTTACTAATATGTATTATAAAGGCGAAAGTTTGTATGGATATACGGATGTTTGTTAGTCTTTTACGCAAAAACGGCTGAATGGATCTGAATGAAATTTGGCACAGGGATCGATCATAGTTTGTAATAGCACATAAAGTAGTGTTCTTGTGGGACGAGTTACAACAACAACCGCGGAGAACACCGTGCGGCGCAACTAGTAGGTATTTAAATGACAAGAAGTACATTGAGTCGTTTTTTTTGAACCCATATTGTAGGCTACGCTTATATAGTTCGGCTCTAAAGTAAGGTTTGATTATAATATTGCAGGCTTGTCAGAAAGTATTTCTATATAAATTACATTAATAACAAAAATAGAAGTCGTCTTTTGTCGTATTAAACCTATTTGATTTTAGAAGACCCTTCGAAGTTTACCTCAGTATGAAATTCCCTTTGCATTGTAAAAAAATTACTTACAATATTTTCTGCCAAAAACTTTGTCCAACATAAAAAAAAACAAAATCAAATTGTACTCGTACTTTTGAATATGTCCCATTATACTTTAGAAACCCCAAAATCGTTTATGAGCTTTTCGCGAGTAATAATCATCTCGAAATATAAATTCAAATTTGTTTCAATATTTAAAAGATTTACTTTAAGCAATCATTAGTTTTTAACAAGTTTTATTTTTTACAAAATTCAATAAATAATTACGATACGTCAAAGAGTTCCAAGTGCTAAGATGTGGTCTTGTCAGACTTCATTTCAGCAAATTAATAGGTAGATGTTATATCTAGAGGCAGACCACCTGCCTGAAGGTCAGAAGACATTGTAAGTGCGACAAGAGAGCAATGGATCCGGATGGTTGCCCCAGCAGTGGGTACAACAGGCAAATAGATGGATATGAAAAAAATTGTTTAAGTTATTGTTTATGGCAAAAAATTACAAACGGATTGAAACCTATTATAACAGCGAAGTCTCAACTTAAAATAATACCTTTATACTTTACTAGCGACCCGCTATTCGCACAGTTTTAATTTAGGTTTCTGCTAGGATATAATAATTTCGCGGTTTATGTAAGCCATGTATGCCTATTTATTTTTCCGGTGACTTGGTTGCAAAATATCTTGCTTTTTTTGTACATAAAAACTTAATTAGTTTTTATTATTAACATAAACCTTCCTGAAAAATATCAAACTTATGGTAAAAAAACGCATGAAAACCCGTTGCGATGTTTACGAGGAGTTTAAGACGGAGGATTTAAAGACGGTTTCGTAAAACGGCTTTGTTTTACACAGTATAAAGATAAATTAAAATGCCTTATATCCTCTTCCTTCAAGGATACACTTCTATGAACAAATTATCAATACATAAAAATAATTTAATTGCAGGATAGGATACCGAAAGAAGCACAGAACCAATATGTAATACATGAGTCAAATGTTACGAACCAAGTGTAAACATACACAGCCACTTTGTACAATGCCCGGGCAATATGAGTATTGGTTTACGAGAATACATTTGCTAATGATCATGTTCTTTCCACAAGGAAGGATTGATGATCTTGAAAGGACTTCATGAAATTTCTGCAGCTTACAGGTCGCCGTTTTCTGTTTAATTTAGGATCAACTCAAAAGAGGGTGTCTTATATAGAATAGAATAGAATAACAGCATACAAAAATAAAACAAAAGTTGAAAACAACATACACAAATAATCTAAAAATCAAGTAAGGTTTGATAACGGCAACATTTTTCATTGTCTTTAATTTCTGACAGAACTGACATGACACGTCATTGTGCCACGTATCCAACCACGCGTCTATAAAATTTTACTTATAATAACTATGTTAGTACTTATCAACTAATATATATGTATATATTGTTTTATGTTTCAAATAGAAAACTAATACAAATATTCAGCGGTGTGTTATAATGAGCAATTAAAAAACCAACTAAGACTTTTTGGGGTATCATATTTTATGATGAATATTTACTAATAATAAATACTTTTATTTTATTTTGGTGGATGGACGGATACAGAATGGAGTAGAGTCCTAAGTGCGTTGACAGCCCTGGAGAGCTCTCCCACAAGAATTAGGGGAAGAGAAAGATAAGCCTCCGATAGTCTTCCTTAGTTAGTGAAATACAACGAAGTAATTCCTTAACGTCGGCTTTCTGTAAACCGTCGTATGTTCCAGCGCCAATGTACCGAGGCATGCAACGGTTTAACATTCAGGTGGTTCATAATTTCTCAGGTATACTCATTAATATATTGATTTTACAGTGTTTCAAAATTTTGAAATTAATTGAGTAGATTACATTAACTTAGATCACTGATTCCTGTGTAAAGACGGTGTTAGTTCCTTTCAAATGTATATATTTAGCTAAAAATGGTCACGGTTTTTAAAAACATCTCAGTTAATGGAAACTTTTCTTTAATATCTGAAGTAAATATTTATGGTTCACGAGAAAGGACCCGTGGCGCCTCCACAGCTTTAAGTTTGAACAATGTTCACACCTACATAGAGACAGTGAAACTTAAGAAAGAGCACGTTTCACTGAGTTTAAAAAAAAATCGCGTACCTCAAACATTTAACAAAATAAGCCGTGTGGTGTCGTGGGACACCCGATAGGAACGAAGTTGTGACGATCGAGTAAAAGTGATTCGACACGATTTTAATTACAAACGCCATCTATGAAAGCGCCTATTACCTACATATTTTTCAGTTGGTTTCTAATTAAAACAATTTATATATTGGTAAAATCTCCTTGAGAAATGATTTCCTATCAATTCGATAGATGGCGCTGAATGACTGACAAGTGACAATTCAAAATAAATACTGAGATGAAAAGTAATGATTTCCTATCTATTCGATAGATGGCGCTGAATGACTGACATAAAAAGTGTCGCTACAACTTTTCGTGAGATTTTTTTCCGTCTAGCCCCCTTTCACAACGCGCGATAAGGAACTTCGTTCCAATAAGCTATTACAGCATAAGAAATGTATAAGACGAAATCACAACTAGGAGCAACTTGAGAAGGGTAATAATTATGTCATTTCGATGTCTGATGAACACCTTTTATTACAAGAAAGTAAGCAAATAGATTAGTCAGAACTATAATGGAGTATGAATGTATTTCAAGTTAAAATTAAAATGTCGTCTACATGAGATATATTCGCGATCCAAAAAGCTAGATTCGAGGCAAGATAACACATAAGATTCAAAACGCTTAACATACTTCACATACTGGTGTTTAAGAGTAATTATTAAAAATAATAAACTATTTGCTCATGGTGCTTATATTACGTACCTTAGTCCCTTCAACGCTGATGATCCGGTAGAGGTTCCTGGACGAGTCGTAGAAGAAGGAAACAGAGACGGCGGCAGAACTAGCAGACATCCATGACCGCTTCGTCTTGGGGTCTATGTGGAACACGTGTGCCTTGCACGTGAATATCGGCTGTTCACTGCAACAATAAAATTACATCATCATTGGGATATCCTTTTCCCAAATTTATTGACAACTACAGTTGGCCTGACAGCAGCGAGGACGGTCACATCACCACTAGAGGACAGACCCATTATGGTACGTAGCCTGTCCGCCATTTCCCAAAATACACATGAGTAAAACCGTTTATCCTATTTAAATATGAATACCCGTGACGAAAACCTTAAGTTTAATTTAATGAAACTCTCTATTAAATTATAAATACCTTAGTGTTTTAGGGGCTAAAATAATTAAATCTACTCCAATACAGTAAAATGAGTTTATTCAGTAACCTTCGAATATTGAATTAATTATAAAACTAACTTAACAATCCCACGATTTACAGTTCAAAGTTAAAATTTACAAAATTCCTGTTATAAATTTTTAATCAGCTAGTGATGCAAGGTACTAACAAATAACAATTTCAGTTTTTAGCATGATACAATTTTCGTTCAGAAAGTTCAACTAAATTAAAAAAAAAAAATTGTTCCAATATTTGGACCTTCTTTGTAAAATATGTTTGACTGGTTTATACTCCTTGTGAGAATTTTCGTGTGTAATACGGGTAATAAGCACTATTGCATCATATTACTTACCAGGAACGAATACCATATTTCAGTGTTTGCAATGTCATGGGTACTAATCCCTCCCACACGCCCACCACTGTAACTCCTGTACACCAGGATCAACAGCAGTGACCCACGAACACACCGAGTTAAGACACTCGGGAAGTCCCAGGAAAATAAAATAAACTGTGTAGCAAGACAATAATGTACTACGCGTGGACCCGAATACTTTCTCTCTCGCACACCGACTATCTATTCCATTCAACGCGCATCACCTACGACATCGTGGGAGTGGGAGCACAGGGCCGCCTATATAAACCGGCACGCAGCCTCCAGTATAGCAGTCGATAGCTAGACGACTCAGAGTGCGATAGCCCCGCAGTCCACTCTGGTGTCCAGTAGCTGACCTGGTCGATAGCCCCGCAGTCATCAGGTTTTGCTAAGCATGGTATCTTCAAGAGCGATAGCCCCGCAGTCCTTTTGAGACACTCACGTAGCGTAGGAAGTAGTAATGAGCGATAGCCCCGCAGTCCTCTTCACTGCTCTCATAGGGTTTTATGTATAAGTACAAGTTTTCTAATATATGTATAAGCTAGACAGAAACCAGAATAAACGATAACAGCTACCAAAGACGTCTATGAATTCTGCACTGGTAACCCTATCGCCCTACAACTGTCTTTTTTTATGGTATAAGCGGGCAAACGAGCAGACGGGTCACCTGATGGTAAGTAACTATCGCCGCCCATGGACACCTGCAACTCAAAAGTCACAAGTGCGTTGCCGCCCTTGGAGTCCCTCTCGCTCGAGCTCAGCGGGAGGGGGGATTTGGGCTCCGGTAACCTCACTCACTCAGTGAAAGGCAACGAAAGAATTGCTTAACACCGGTTTTCTGTGTTTTCTTGGAACCCGCAACGTAATTAATCAGAAGAAAATTGGAGGAGTTGGTAATACAGTAAAGTCACTTCCCTCCTGGGAGACAAAATGAAGTAAAATAGGTATACATCCTTTTAAACAGGGAAGCACCACGGCCACTAAATATTATGGGTCCTAAGTGAGCTATATTTGATTTCTATATTATGTATGACAGAATCGCCTAAACGCACGGAAATTCACCCTAAGTGACACAAGATGCCTATAGTATACCGGGGCGGTATGCTATGGGGAATGTCGTGGGTAGAAGAGTTATCTGTATTCACTATTAAATCACTAAAGCCTTACACTTTTAAGTCGAAGTATGAGTTTAATTGATTTCAAATACTTTTCCATTGTAGACTAGTAAATATTATCATGATCAACAGCATTTAGTAGACCACTGCTGGACATAGTCCTTAGGAAGGAGTCCTTTGGCCTATTATAACACGACGGCCGCTATTTATATTCTAAAATAATATGAAGACTATGAATTTCATGAATTTACATTGTCTTTGAAAGGTAAATTAATCTATGTTACGCTCATAAAGAGTTTTCACGTGATATTGCGGACAAAAAAAAACAGTTTAATTACTGAGAAGGGTGAGAGTCGATACAGCATCCTAAAAACTACCAACAGTTTTAATACTCCGGTCATAAAACACTTTGTGCCGGTTGATTTTTACTAACACTAGATAATTAGTAATAATTTAACGTATTTATGTAAAAAAAACTAACTCTTAATGGATACTTTGTTTATTTTGAAATGAAAACCTATGTCCGTGTGGTGACGGATTAAGATGTCCGTGTGGTGACGGATTAAGAACACAGAGTGTGACCATCCCTATTCATCCCGTGGGTGTCAACTAAGGGAGCAAACTACGCAGGACGACAGCACTGCAAAGAGAAGGATAACTTGACACAAACCCTATACCAACTCGTCTGGCCCGCGTGGTATAGTAGGCCAAAACCTCCTTACTAAGGAGAGGCCTAAGTCCAGCAGTAGACTATTTAATAGTCTATTGATGTCAAATGAAAACCTTATTGTTATTATAATAGTTTAGATAACTATTCAACGCTTAATTTATTCGCTGGTATATAGTATTCGTAGTTTCGTATAAGCGTGTTATATAAACGTACGAGTGTGTGTTATATTCTAACTACGGTCCTTGGGAATAACTAAACTTGCCAGACTGTGATAACAAGACTTATATTAGTTCAGATTCGTACAAGAAACTTAGACTTATGGCTTGTCTGGTGCTTGGACAAATTATTACCCAAACTACTTACCATCTATACAAAAAAAAAAAATGAAGTGTCTGTTTGTAATGTCTAAAGTTTTTTTCATGCTGTCACGGTTATTTGCACGATACCTATTCCTAAAAACCAGTTTAAATATTTTTTGTGTTTGTTTGTTCTTGGTAATCTGCAAAATGGCTGAAACGATTTCAATAATAGTGGTAAAACTAGCAGGTAGCTGTCTATATAAGGAGTCCTAAAAATCCTATAAAATAAAATTTTGCCAGGTCTGGCAATCAAACCCACTAACGCAGCGCCTTTCCAACTCCACGCGAACGAAGTCGCAGGCACCAGCTAGTTATATTATAAATGGGAAAGTCGATTTCATTGATTAGTTAAACGTGTTATCCGTGGGAGCCCATGTTCGGAACAAATGTGTGTAACAAAAAGAAAACGGCGTTAAGGGCCTATGGACCCCTAGCCGGAACGAAGTTCCGCAAGAAGTGTTGGAAAAAAGTCTTGTTACACATTTTTCAGTCTCGCTCTCATCCGCTCAGAGCGTGTGACGCGCGTATAGAACTTCGTTCCAAAAAAAAACCGGAAATGTGCAACAGAACTTCATTATTATTATTATTTATCGAGTCTGATGGCGAGGTTTAACGAATCGATTGACAAAAGAAGCAGTAAGGTGAATGAAACCGTGAACGGAAGCTAGTATTTTATAATCCTACACTTCAAGTTTATGAGCATACCTACATGAACGATGTTTTAAATCCGGTTTTAAACGATAAAGAAAAACATTAATTCTGTTTAATGCTACTAAATTTACACTCAGAGTCTCATTCAGATTCTGTTTTAATGTGAATCGCAATCAGAATGAAATCAGGCCGGGTAAAAATTGTCACGGATTTTATTTCTCTGTTTGGATTTTGAAATTTAAACCGGACTAAATTAGAATCAGGAAAACAGAAACAAATGGTCAGAGATCCTGCATACCAAAAATATACTAAACCCGAATTATTCCAATTGATGTCAAGGTACTCCTGTTCAAATGTTACAGCAATTCTTCCACTTGTAACTTAAAAAGCTGTTTTTGCATTTAATTGTTGTTTCACTCTATTAAGCTCTGCGAGCTTTTCTGATGTTTCAAATTTAAAAGTCGGTCAGAATTACATAGTCAATTACTAGTGGTTCATAGTCCTTATCCGATCCATCCCAATCAATCTTACATACGTACACGTTGTCCATGTATGTAACTAGCCAACCCTTTAAACAGCAGAGCGGTCTGAGAGTCTAAGCCTTCTGTCAGCACAATTCCTGTGATCAGTTTCTACTGATAAACGGGTTCACCACAAACCGGCAAACATTACTGTTCAGCTAATCTCTTGAGGCGACAGCCATATTAGTCTAGTGGTTGGTGATTATAATTATTTGACGAGCAAGATCATTTGTTTTGTATCTGGGTGTAAATATTTATTTAATAATTAGCGGACCCAACATCTACCGATTATGAAACCATACTCGAATCCACTTGAACACACACAAAAAAACCGCTAAAATCGGTCCAGCCATTTAAGAAGATTTTAGTTAGATATATATGTATAGAAATTTATCTACCATTTTATTTTTTGTGTTATAATTGTCATCAATTAAATAATGTATGCAAGTATACTAAAATGGCTCCAAAACAGCTACAGTAGTCATTTATACAAAATGTGTACTGATGCAGATAGTCTCTGCAGTTTAGCAATACTATTCCAGGTTATGTAACAAAACCCACATATCCCGGAATACGGTTTCTTTAATCGTTATAGTTGAGTTATGATCTAAATTCGAGAACCAGTCAACCTCTACTACTTATAAACATGTTAAAATACCTCTAAACAAGAGATTTGAGTGGAAACAATAAAGTGGAATTTTACAAACGATAATGGCTCTCTCCAGACAGCGACAAGATCATCCCCGCTGTCACCGTTCGCCTAATTTGTTCGTCGTACATCGTCCGTGAAAATGGGTCAGCACGACTAAATCTGTGTCGCAGGTAGCGAGGTCGCATTGTCGTGGCGTCTGAACACTCACTTAAATTGAAAAATGTATGCAAAATGATTTTGACTACTATTTAGAGAATTTCAGTCAGATTTTAACTCGTCTTAGGAAACTAGAACAGCCTTAGAATAGTATTTGTATAACCTGTTGATCTAGTGGTCGACGAACCTACTAAGCCAGAGGTTTGGATTTGATTCCTGTCAAATTCCTTGACAAATAATTGTGAGATGAGTAACATAGGCTTTGGCGTTGTCTTATTTAAAATCAGTTGGCCTTGTGTTGTTATTATCAAAAAAAAAAGAAAAACTTAAATAAATAACAAAAAGAAAACAAAAATTAAGCATTTTCTTTATACATAATATGTATATAAATACATAAATTTATTACGACATATAAAAATACTGGTTCTTTTTACTCTTGTACGTGACTCTTAAGGATAATAGGGTAGTTGACTATATTATAAATAAATAACAATTTCCGCTTCATTAAAATTAATATCACAAAACATCTCGGAAAATATAACTATTCTAGCTTTTTATAATGATTAATTCAAAACAAATAAAGAATAAAATATATTCTTCAATTGAGTGTTCTAAAATAGTGAAGTCATAAGTTGCTATGTCGTAAATTTTTCATACAAAATTGTCGTTTTGACAGATAATAAAAGTAACCTTTTTGTCTAAGATGTCAAATACCCTATCTTGTGCTCTTGTGTTTGGATTTAAGCATATGTTATGAAAATATGAAAAAGGAGCATTGATTTTAAACAAAGAATTTTATTCATATTCTGGTACCTTTATTACAAAAAATCTCAACAGTTTTGTAGCAATTTTCATAATAACAAAGTCAACAAAGTCATAACTAAAGTAATTCATATAAGAAATAACACAAACCACTACATACTCGTACATTTGACGACCGGATGGCGTAGTGGTTTGTGTAACGGACTGCTATTCCAATTCCCGCTTAAGTCAAACATTTGTGTGCATGAACATTTAATGTTTGATTTGATCTGGGTGTTTAACAAAAAAAGTATGTATGTATTTATATCAGTTGTCTAGTAGCCATAGTACAAGCTCTGCTTAATTTGGGACTAGATGGCAGTGTGTGAATGTGGTAGATTATTATTATCCAGTCTGATTTACTTGCTATTATTCATATTGTCCGGGCATTGTAAATAATGGGATGTTTAATCACTTGGCACATAACATATACGTGGCACATAACGTATAAAAGCGTGGTGATAGTTGTAACTAGGTTACCGTCTACACAGCGTCACATCTACGTACGTAAACTACAAAAGGATTCCACGAATATCCACCCCTCCGGGGCAAAGGGGTGAAATATGTCTCAGTAATATACGGCTATATGAAGATTTATATTATTGCGTCAACAGCATGAATACGCTGGTACTAGATACTTGTTGAAAATGTTTAGAAACTGAGTACAGTGGTAGTGGAGTTGAGAATCTCTGTCTACCTGTATGTTGCGCTTTCACGGCTAAACCGCTGAACCGATTTTAATAAAATTTGGCATGAAGATACTTTGATTCTTGAGGAAGGACATAGGCTTTTTACCACGATAACCAAAATACACGCGGACGGAGCCACGTTTAAATGCTAGTATTTTTTTTGGTATATAAATAATGATTACAATTTAGTAAACCTAGAAAAAGGCGTAAATGGTGAACCGAACTAAAAAGTAATAAACCCGACAAGTGCGAGTAGGACTCGCCCACCGAGGGTTCCGTAAAAGAAAATTTCATCAGAATAATAATTAAAAATCTGTTTAAACTCGTGCTAATTTAGCGTTTAGAGTGCCAAAACATTACATTATATTTACATATTATAGATGAATTACACCCTGTCACAGAAAAAAAATATTGTGCTCATCACGACCCTTGGCTTAGCAGTCTAGCTCATTGACCACCATCAACTGTTCTTTATTTTTTTCTTTATTTTAAAAAAAGACAACTCCCGCATTAGGAATGTATCCTGTGACTTTACAAGCATACATGAAACGGTCACAAAGAACACCTAGACTCAGAACGACAATTTGTGGATCATACAATGTGTCATCCCATGTAAGGATTGAACCCACAACACTCAGCGTAGTAGAAAGCGGCGTGGCGACCACTTATACCTGGTCAAACTGTTAATGTTGTGTAGTTTGTGATCTAATCTTTGAACTCTAACACGATATGCGTAAGTAACAAATGATATCCATCATCTGAAAGCGCCTAAACAAAACCCCATTAGAAGGCCAATTCTTTTAGTTCCGATCAACTCATCTCGCAACTGTCATAAAAAGGTAATTTCGTAATAAATAGTATTACTAAGACTAGCAAATTACTGATTCAATTTTCGATCACAATACGATATAATCACATTACCGTCAACATTGAATTACCTTTTATGACAATTGATCGGAGTTGATCGGAACTGAATTCTGGCCGAATTTTTATTACGAGAATTCTTTATCGTGTGCCATAACTCTTGAGTTTAACAATTAAAGTAGACACTTTGTGCCGCTAATCACCATTAAAGTTTTCCTCCTGAAAGTCAATTAAACGAATGAACGAGACTACAATGTCAGTTTAATTTACAACTTAACTTGTGGCGTGTTTATCGCATTTGTTATCTGGCAAATTAGAATTAATGTTGATAGATTAAATGGGTATTAATGCCGGATTCTCATTGTAATCTCTGTTGCACTGGGAATTTGGCAAGAAATGTAGAAGAACTATTATTTTACCAGTCGTTTACAAGTGTATTTTTTAATATTATAGGGCCTTTTTAATATTAAAGCAGAATTAACCGTGACTAAGGGGTATTGTGTTAAATATAGGTGATTTTTTTGGATGAGTGTATGTGATGATGACAGTGAATGTTAGGGTGTAATGATGGACGGGGGAAGTGTTCTCCCCTGGGATAGGGTCTGATTAGGCATGGTGTCAATTCGGGGAGGACCTGAAATAACATGGTCCGGGTCCTCCCCAGAGTAGGACACCTAAGGCTGGCCGTCGGGGTGGTTTTTAGTGGAATCACCACATACTCCTGGCTCCTGAGTCCCCGAGGAGCAGGAGATCCGAAGGGATTTTCCACCCCGTGAACAAAAAAAGGGTGTAATGATGGATGCGAGTATGATGCAAGGGGATGGTTGAGAGTAAAAAGATAAAGGGCTTTGAATTACTGGTATTAGGATTGCTTATAGGTACTCAGCTTCTTTGTAGTCAAACATTTTTGAATACCTTTTTTAATGTTTTGACGCATCGACATTTTGGATATATTAAGAATTTTGTTCTGAACAAAATAACACAACAGATACTAGTCAAGTGGACTATGAAAGGCTGTTAATGTAATGTACTCGTGTAGTGATGACGTGTCTTTTATCTGTCCCTGACGTGTAATACTTAACGAATTGAAAACAAACCTATTTATATTTTGACAATCATTACTCATAACTGAAAATAAATTCTTACACATAAAACTATTTTTTATACGGTATTTGGAGGCAAACGAGCAGACGGGTTATTTCATGTTAAGTGACTACCGGCGCCCATGGACACCTGCAGCTAAAGAGTCAAAAGTGTATTGCCTTACTTTGAGTCCCTATCTCCCGGAATTAGGGGAAGGGAAGTTGGTGTACGGTAATTTCACTCACTCACTCGGTGAAAAATAACGAAAAAATCGCTTAACAACAGTTTTCTGCGAGACCGTTGTACTACTTCGGTTGAGCTTGCTCATTTGTGTCGAAGCATAGCTCTCTCGCAGTCAACATCATCATCATCAACAGCATTTAGTAGTCAACTGCTGGACATAGGCCCCTCCTTATAAAGGAGGTTTTGACCTACTATACCACGCTGGCCAGACGGGTTGGTATAGGGTTTGTTTCAAGTTTTCCTTCTCTTTGCAGTGCTCTTGTCCTACGTAGTTTGCTCCCTTAGTCGGCTCTTACGACACCCACGGGATAAATAGCGATGGTGACACTCCGTATCCGTACACATCACCACACGGACGAAGTTAAATTATATTATTTATACGACATTGTAATATCTGTTATCTCGTATGTTATAAACGAAAAAAGTATATAACTAGTAATAACTCACTCTTCTGCGATAAAATAATCAAATGGATCATCATTAAACACCGGCGGTTTTATGTAATAATCATAAGTTTCCATTTTCAGTGTCACGTAACCACAAATTAACAGCACAAAATAGAGTCACTACAACACTTTTAGAACATAAACTGCGAGCAAAGAAATATCAACTTTAAAGTATTGTATTCGAGTACCGGGGCATGGCTGATAAACCGATAGTTTAGATAGATATGAACATTACAAATGTCAGATAAGATAGGTTCGGTTAGGGAGTGTTCGAGTTTCAGACAGTTTAGTGCTGTCTAACTTTATGGATGGTTCAGAATACAGAACTCCTAAATACACGTAGTATATATGTATTACTGTTTGTAAAACTGTTTGTAAACGCTGATCGACCAACAAAAAAGGAAGTTCTCAATTCGGTTGATTTTAAATACGCTTTCATTAGCTTTACCATTACACACTTACCATTAGGAATCTTTGAAAGTGATTTTCATGCAATTAAAAACTTAGCACACTTATCAAGAACCGATGACAATACAATATTTTAATAAGATTGTCCTATTATCCTGATCAGTATCTTCAGGATTAACGATTTTTTTCTATAAATGAACACGTTTTTGTGGCTATATGAACTAAAAAGTAGTAAATATTTCTCTATATCATCATCATCATCAACAGCTTTTACAGACAAACTGCTGGACATAAGCATCTCCTTAGAAAGGAGGTTTTGACCTACTATACCACGCTGGCCAGGCGGGTTGGTATAAGTTTCTATAAGTTTTTCCTTTTTTCTATAAGTTCTTATAAGTAAAAAAATACTGATTAGCAATAAAATCATTTTATCGTAAAAAAGCGTGGGGTGCGTGCTAGATGTCAATTGTAAATATTTTATTGACAGATATTGGTAAAAGGGAAGTCATCTATATAAATAAGTGAAATTGAAGTCTGTTTCTAAAGTCAAAACATTAGGGTTTTTCATGCTCACACTATTATTTGCACGATACCTATTCCTAAAAGCCACTTTAAATATTTTTTGCCTGTCTGGCTGTTTGTTCCGGGTAGTTTTCAAAACGGTTGAACCGATTTTGATAATATTTTACTACCAGCTGCCTATATATGGAGTTACTTGGCTATTTTTTCTCTCAGAGAAAACCCTATAAAATTTTGCTCAGTCTGGGTATCAAACTTGAGGCCTCATGGATTGCAGTCGCGTAACATACCACACCACTAAGGCAACGCTTTATATAGAACAATGCTATGGTGGTTTAAAAACTTGAAGAGTTCTGCACCGATTGAGTTCAAATTTTGACCCGCTTCAAATATAGTTTTTACCTATTTTTCGCGTCAGTTTTATTCCTCATTTCTCAGCAATGCAACCACAATGCTTACAATAATGCCACAACGTAACAGGGTACAGCTATAATTATAAAATAGTGTGTGAGGCCGTGTTATCACTCCAGTCGAGCCAGCCTGCTTATGCCGAAGCATGGCTCTCCTACAAATATTGTGTTATCAGGACAAATCATAATTTTAATAGTCAAGTTCAAGTGTAACTTAAAACTTAGTTGCTTTCCAAGTTACTTTTTGCAGTAAAGATTAGAAAAATCTCGTTCATAAACATCAATATTATTATATTAATAAATATTCTAATAGTTTACCGGAACCCTAAATTCAAATTTTCCGGTCCTACTACTATTCAACTAAAGCCAAGATATGTCATTACTACGGAGATTTGTTCACCAAATAATCACAAACATATTCCACACTCTATCCCGATGGGTATTACAGCCGTCACAACTTATTAGACAGGATTATCAAAACCAATCAGCATCTGTTACATAACACAGTTCGGTCGAAATCACAAGCTGTACAAATTATTTATAGGCAAATGCAAATCTCACATTAAATGAGAAATTGAGACGTTCCTGATGCTGTAATTATTAAGTTGTTTATAATATTAATAGATATTAATATGATGATAGTTAAATATATATTTCATAATAAGATTTAATTTATCTCGTTAGTTATTTTTGTATGCCTCGGGTAAGAGTACTTACTTTAAATACGATCGTTTTAAAAATCACTGTTTCACTTTCAGGAGTCAAATTTTCATTTTCTTTATTTATTTGTCCCTTTTACCTCTAAATTATTTTAAGTCTTTAACAAGATCTTTTACAATACAGTAGGTATCCATCCACTATCGTGGTACCTACTCGTATTACTTATGAGGAATATATCTCAGTAATACTGTATTTCTTTAGTAACGTAAAGCTAAAATGATTCTTTTATGTGTATATAATTACGTAAAGAAAGTTCTTTGTTTTTTTTTATGGAAGACAATCAAACAATATCTATACTAATATTATAAAGCTGAAGAGTTTGTTTGTTTGTTTGAACGCGCTAATCTCAGGAACTACTGGTCCGATTTTTAAAATTCTTTCAGTGTTAGATAGCCCATTTATCGAGGAAGGCTATAGGCTATATATCATCACGCTAAGACCAATAGGTAGGACCAATAGCTAAGACCAATGAAGAATGTTTCAAAAACGGAGAAAATTTATTACTATTGAGAGACGCAGACGAAGTTGCGCGGGTCAGCTAGTCTGGTATAAAGTTAAAAATTACATTAAAACGGGTACATAACACTATGGGGTTCCAACATTATATTTCGACCGGTCGTAGTGCAAGTCTATGCAATGACAGGTCGAGTTATACCTACTTGTCTTTGAAATATAACATGTCATTCAATACGGTCTAAATTCGAACAGGCGACTTCTAGTTAAATTTAAATGGATGAATATGCTCGAGATATCCTGTTAATCTATTATTAAAATGATTGATGGGATTACCCTAAGGTGTGCGAACATGTTAAAACGGGTGTGGTTACCGTTTTAGTTCAAAGGGCGGTCCCCAAGTACTATTTTAGCCAATGAATGATATAAATACTCGTGGCAGAGACTCAACCGTGACCTCGTAATTATATACGAAAACTTAAGGAAGGAAATAATTTCCGTTTAAATTCAAAGTTGCTTGAAACAAGAAGCATTTCCGCGGTAAAGAGGAAATCCTCTCGAGCATGGCTGCTAATATGTAGACTAAAAAGAACCAATTGTAGTCCCTCGAGGTCGTTTGGCAGTCAAATTTCGTACGTTTTAAATGTCTTGTTCAATTCCTATGACTGGTATTACTTGAACTGTCGCTATACAGACTTTCGTACTATGACAAGAGAAGATATACACTGGACGACTGTAATTTTATGTAGCCGTTTTTGAATATCTTTTTTCCTTTATAGCATTTATTGTTTAAAAATTGTAGCTTCCTACATTTCTTCTTGTCTATGTGGTCATGTGGTGACGGATTAGGAATACATTATGTCACCACCGCTATCACCATCCCTTGGGTGTCGTAAAAGCCGATTAATAGCCTGCCTAAACTGGCGGACGGCAGGGGAGAGTATCGAAGATTTCCTCCACCGCAGCGTACACTGATGAGGGAATCTCCCTCACGATACGGCGAGCGGCCCAAGAGACCCGCTACCTAGCCATGGGGCTAGGTAGCGGGTCTCTTGGGCCGCTGGTGGACTGCGGCGCATATCAGTGGATGCCGTCGGATACCGACCGAATGCAGTCGTGAGAAATCCTCTGTGATGCTCCGAGGACGGTTTTTCGTCGAGGTTGGAGCATTGAAATTTACAGCTTATTTTAAATTGAAATAGCAAAAAAAATCCTTTGATAAATTTATTATACTCTACGGTCCCGTCTGCCGGTTTGCGCAGGCCTTAAGGGAGCAACCAACACCGGACAACGGTACTGCAAAAAGAAGGAAAACCCTATACCAACCTGGCCAGCGAGGAATAGTATGCCAAAACCTAATTTCTAAGGAGAGGCATATGTGGGAGCAAACGAGCAGACACCTGATGGAAAGCGACTACCGCCGCCCATGAACGCTTGCAACTCAGGAGTCACAAGCGCGTTGCCAGCCTTTGAGGAAGGAGTACGCTCTTTTCTTGAAGGTCGCATTGGTCCGGAAAAATCGCAGACGATAACCCGTTCCACAGGTTGGTTGCGAGGCAAAAAGTGTCTCGAAAAGCGCACAGTGGTGGAGTGCCAAATGTCCGAGTGGTGGGGATGAAAACTTTGGCGTGTGGAACGATGACGGAAAGTTGCGGCCGGTATTAGTCCGAACAATTCCTTGGAGCACTCTCCATGATATATACGATAGAGAATGCAGAGCGAAGCTATATACATCTCTACGCAACGCCAAGGGTTCGAGGCGGTCTTGGATACGGTCCGACACTGGCTGAGGCAGTTAGGGAGGTGCTCTCGAAACGAGGCGATACAATAAACGGTATCTTTTTTGCCGTGAACGCGCAAACCTGTTAAAATGGACTAGATTCAGTCGACCCTGATCGTCGATCTGAAAACTCCACTAAGGAAGTTTCAATTTCAGACACAAGGTTGTTTCGACTCTCGATGACGTTTTCCCGAGAAATATTGGGGCGGCCAGTATAAAGGCATCGGCCCTTACATAAAATCACTGTTAAGCAACTAATTCGTTGCTTTTCATCGAGTGAGTGAGGTAACCGAAGCTCAAACTCCCCCTCTACCTGATTCTAGGAGGAGAGCAAAGCGTTGTGTGACTCTTTAGTTACAGGTGTTCATAGTCACTTCATCATATTATTCATCAGCCATCAGGTGTCCCATCTGCTCGTTTGGCAATCTTATCCAGAACGTGGCGAGCGAAACTAATGTCATTTATTTTGGCAACAAAAGTTTTACTTGCAATATGCAGTTATTCGAACGCTCATATTTAGGACATCGTCATGATTAAAACTGAAGATATAAACGATATTTCCCAACAACAACGTTCGATTTCCCACTTTATTTATCAACTATATAAAATACACAAGTCACCCTATACACCCCAGGAAGAAACAGGATGGTTTTGCCCAATCATTCCGGAAACACGGACAAAATAAACATCGCTTTTCCAATAAATAAAATGAAATGTCCAAATAAATGTATTGGAAACATAAGAAATGTTTGGATTACGTGACTGATCTCATTTTATAAGAATAA